AAGACTCGGGTAAAGAAACTTCTTCAGCTGATAGAGTAAAACCTGCGCCTCAGCAACAACCAACGCATCAACCACGTGTAGAGCAGCCATATCTCTCTGAAATGCCTGACAAAGATGAAGGTACTCACTGGTATATGTGTTTCAATGGCAAAGCAGATACAAGTCCTCCTCCATACCAACCTAATAGCCAATTCGTTCCATGCCCCTACCTTGAATGCATCGGACGTTGTCTACATGGGGACCGGTGTACTTACCTTCACGCCGAATCAGACACGAAGGCAGCTAAATGACAAGTCTGGCAACTGACTATGGTCTAGTTTATGTATTAATTCAGACTTTTGATTTTACATATCTATTTGGCGACAAACGACATTATGTTCTTGATGTTGCGCTGGGCTTGGGTTGCTCTCATTTTTAGATCAAAGCCACCACACGTCATTGCGTCACACCAAATCAACAGGGTTGGATTTTCGCTGCAAGCTGTCCTCGTAGTCTTTTTGAACCACGTGGTTACTGGCAAGCGTGTATGTTACGTTTGATTATTTAGCTAAGGGGCACTGACGGAAGCAAGAGAACAGTCATGTCATGACTGGTCATGATGTTTGGATGATGCATTTGTTGCGCATCCTATATGTGGCACCAAACTACACAGAGGCTACGCAGACACCCGGGGCATCCGAGAACGCTGTAGATGAAGGTGACACAACCATCAATTACAAGGATTTACACTAGTGATACGTGACTGATAAATTGCTGGTGCTAATCTAGTTGTAAGATAAGTGCATAAGTGTCGGGTTACATACAAATAAACGTGTGGCGTCTTCGGGATTGGTAGGGCTTTAAGTAGAATCTGGCCTCGTAATTGTGCATTTATTAGACACCAATTAAGGTTGTGTCAAGTAATTGGTTCCTCGTCCGAGTTGTGTCAAACATTCTGCTCAGTTATCCACTAACACGCCCTAAACCCGATATGCCTGCATAAAACTTGTGGTATTCACGGCCATTGCTCTAAGGCCATTTATCTAGTTCCAATAGTTTCCGGAGGTTGATGGTGGCATAACTTCTTTGATACCAGACAGTGAAGCAGCTCTAAATACGCAGTTTATTGCACTGCAAATATCATGAAATTCACAAAAAGTTGAAACTAAACTACCGGTTCCTAGGGCACAATTGTTGGACATTTACAGTAGAAAATTCACACTAATCAATTTGGTGTAATGAGTAGGTAAGGTTGTTGCTAGAAGAGCCATCAAAATCCCTTTAAACTAATGTTTGACCATTTGTCTACGCCTACTGGTATCCGCAATAACTACTTCAAATCGCAGCAAAATTGTTTGATTTGTCATTTTACATAAAAAGCACTCATTACTATTTCGCAGCACGTGGTAGTCTTCGAAGTCAACATAAGCTAAACAACTTTTAGTTAATCTTTGTTCTGCTAGCAAGAAGTGTTGCAAAGTCACGGTAATTTACTCCATTCTTTTGAACGTCAACTGCGGTTGCCAACATTTCATCCATTTCCTCACGCGTAAATACCTCACCTACATTAAAATTATAAAATTCGTATAACACTGGAAACCTTTAGTCATCATGTGTTTTTCAAGAACCTCTGGATCTACAATCCCAGTTTTTTCAGGATCAAATGTCTGAAATGCCCTGACGATCTCTTCTTCGGGTAGTGGAGCATAGCTAACAATCAGCAGGGACAAGTTACATCTACCTTTCGTCGATTAAAATTTGACCTATTACTGGCAAAAACGTCTCATAATTTATGTATCCATTTGGAGGTACATTTTCAAGCTATACATAATGCATTTGAGTCGTACATACTTGAGGCATGAGTTCATTTATTTCAGATTCAGACGGACATAATCCGAGGCTTCGCATAACTGTGCCAAGTTCGCGCGTATCTATAGTCTTATTACGCTCTTGGTCAAATAAATCGAAGGCTTCAAATATTTTAGCATCAAGTTTGTCAAGTTCTATGTGTACGCGAATAAATGTGGGTTAAAATTACCAATATCAAGCATCCCACCAGAGATAAAAACGCATTATGGTTACTGTGACGATGACCTTCAATTTAAGTAATGAAAAAATGGGACAAAAACAGATAAATTGTGCGGATAAATGTACAAATAATTGAAATACAATAAATAGATTAGATTGTCAAAGTTGCATCCACTGCTGCAACCATTAACCGTCTCATAGTCAGCAAATATATTTATTCTCACTATCCATCGTAATTTGTCCAACGATTAATTCTCAGGAAGAGAATTAATAACATAGGGGTTTGAAATCGCATTAAGCATAATTTAATATTGTTACGTAAGCAATAATTTCCTTTTTGCGTAGCATCTTAATAATAAGTGCATTCTTCTTAAATGATGTCACTAATAAATACATTTTGACTGGACGACAGGATGACAAAGCCCAGTGTGCCATTGTTGTGTAGATTACCCGAGTCCTTTATGAAGAAGACTGGTAGAAGAAAACAGGCTTTACTGACCAATCACAAACTAGAACCAGATGTTAGGCGCCATTCGTCCAAGTCCAATACGCTAGCTTCGCCGAGCGTCATATACAAATTCACTAGCGTGTCTGTCTTTGGTTGGCTGTCTATCTTCCGGGCATGCCATTATAACGCAAAGAGACGAAGTACTAGCTGAGGCCAGAGGTCGCCACACTGCCTACCCTTCAGGAGTAAAGCTGTCCTCACCTTCTGGCTTGGTTTCCCACTCTGTTAATTATTGGTAAAATATCTAGTTCGACACTTGTCGACACTCTACATCTGGCAGAATAGTGGCCCATGTGAATAGTTGATGAGGGACTTTGCTTTTGTAGACTTGCAGGAAGGTCGTTTAATACACCACAGTTTCCTTATCTCCTTGCATTCCGGCTGGCTTCAACTGTCCAAGCCAACGTCTCTGGGTTGCCAATGCCTCTTCAGATGCAGGAGCCATAATCCCCGGCAATGTCTATAGATCCAATGTATGTGACATAGGATGACCGGCAGGATCTTCAACTGTCAGTCAAGATCTTCGCCTCTGTTGGCCGCATTAGGGAATGGGCTTGGGTTTTATTCGCGTTAGTCGAACGCATCTGCTGAGACTAAAGTAGAATACCCGAACACTAGCATAAAGAAGACTGGTACAACAGGATAGGCTTTATTGACCAACCACAAGCCAGAGCTGCAAGTCAGGCGCCTTCCATCCGAGTCCACCACGCTGCCCACGTCGCTCATAATACACTGCTCCTCAGATGTGTCCTTCTCTGGTTGGCTGCTTACCTTTCTCGCATGCCATTGGAACACAGAGAGACACAGGATTGGCTGAGTCCAAGTGGTCCGATGTGTCTGCGCCCTGATCCGTCGCCACTGTAGAATACCCGAGGCCTAATAGGAAAAAGACTAGTACAGCAGAACAGGCTTTATTGACCAATCAGAGGCCAGAGCCACACGTCAGGCGCCTTCCATCCGAGTCCACGATGTTGGCCACGCCACTCAATATATACTGCACCACATCCATGTCCTTCTCTGGTTGGCGGCTTATCGTAATTGCATGCCATTGGAACGCAGAGGGACACTGGATTGGCTGCGGCCAGGTGGTCCAATGTGTCTGCTCCCTGATCCGACGTCACACTTCCTCCCCCTCAGGAGTGAAGCTGTCCTCAGCTTCTGGCTTGATTCACTGCACTGTTCATGAGTGGTAAAATATCCAGTTAGACACTTCCCACACCCCACATCTGGCATGTTAGTGGCCCATGCGAATCGTTGACGAGGGACTTTGCTTTTGTAGACTTGCAGGAAGGACTCATCATCCATTAAAGGTCCTTCGCAGATGCAGTCCAGCTGGCTCTCACTGTCCAAGTCGTCGTCGCTGAGTTGCCAATGCCTCTTCAGATGGAGTAGTCCTAATCCCGGGCAATGTCTATGGATCCAGTTTATTGGACATCGGATGACCGCAATGACAATTTCAGCTGGCATTCTAGGGTCTTCGCCTCTGTTGACCATTTTCGGGAAAGGGCTGGGGTCCGATTCGCGTAATTCAAACGCGTCCGCTGCACCAATGTGGAATACCCGAGGCCTAATTGGAAAAATACCGGTACAACAGAACAGGCTTTATTGACCAATCAGAAGCCAGAGCCACACGTCAGGCGCCTTCCATCCGAGTCCCCCACGCCGGCCACGCCGCTCATTATATACTGCACCTCAGTTGTGTCCTTCTCTGGTTGGCTGCTTATCTTGCTTGCATGCCATTTGGAACACTAATAGGCACAGGATTGGCTGCGGCCAGGTGGTCAAATATGTCTGCGCCCTAATCCAACGTCCCACCACACTACACAACATTCGCGGCACCCGTTGACCAAAAAGGCGTGTAATTAAACTGTTTCCTTAGTGTTTAAGCCCATTTTTCTGTTTTTACCTATTTTTTCGATTTTAAAATTCAGGCAACTTGGGTTTGTAGTCTAACTGATGATAGGCAACCCGCCATCAATTCTAATATTCATTCGATGATCAGTTCTTTTAGCCTTCGCTCGGTACTTCGACACCTAAGTCAGTGGTAACAGCCTAGTTCTGATGTCATCAATCAACAATTTGTGTTTTTTTCTGTTTGGTTATTTTAATACGTTAGTAGGTGGTGGGAATCCACACTTTAACATGTTTGCGTGTCATAATTAAAGAACCTGAACTCTAAGTGAAGTGGTGATGTTAGGTGGCCATTCTCACTTATTAGCGTGTTTTGCGTTAATGTATATTAGCTGGATGCTCTTTTTCCGAATATATTGTAACATGGAAACATATTGCAGTTTATTTGCTTTTCAGCATTTGAAACTAAAACCAAGCGCTATTTGTTGGCGGGCAGGCCTGTTGCGTTGTTCTGTGATTGTCTAGTTATACCCAACAAATTTAAAATAAAAAAACTGTTTTTCTCACGGAGTGTGTCTACTTCGGATTTTTTAGGTTATTGCTATTCTCAATTTTTAGATCTGGTCATCGTGCTATGTCCACTGACACCCTTCCGTGGCCCGCACCAACCTCGCTGGCGGGTTTTCTTCTCGGTATTATTTTTGTACTCGTCACCAACTTTGTTATTCAAACCTTTAACTCTTTTACCGGGCTTTTATTATTCCTTTTTCTCCCACTGTGCTGCGCAGTCACACTTTCTTCGGTAATCTATGCCCTCTTCTCATGCAACATTGCCCTCTACTTTGCTCCTACATTCCGCTGTCGCGACCTTGATGCACGTGGTTTTCGAAAGAATCTCGCAATCGCGCTTTGCCTCGGTGGCACTTTTGCATGCAGCTTGCTCCTTGTTTCCCACGCCTTTAGGGTACTTGAAAATCCTCGTATCGTTTGGCCATTCGGGGTCTATCTTGCATTTTTGACCTTTTTTCACTGGTCCGAGTTCTTTATTACTGCTCTCACAAGCCCTTTACGAGCCGACATTGATTCGTATATGTTAGTCCATAGTCCGGAATACCTGGCAGCAGTGGCCCTTAGTTTTGCCGAATACTGGCTAGGTATGTGGTTGTGGCCTACGAAAGCAACCAATTACCTCTGGATAAACCTTGCTGGTCTGCTTATTTGTATTGCGGGGGAAAGTCTCCGAAAAGTAGCCATGTGGACCGCAGCTGACAATTTTTCGCACTTTGTCGAGCACACACTGCGGCGCGAGCACCAACTTGTTCGAAGTGGCGTTTACGCTTGGTGTCGGCATCCGGCCTATGTCGGCTGGTTCTTCTGGAGTCTTGGCACACAACTCCTCCTGGCCAATCCGCTATGCTCGATTGTTTATCCCTTGGCAGCCTACGCCTTCTTTCGCGACCGAGTTTATTCCGAGGAGCAGAGTCTAGTGGCATTTTTTGGCGAGGCCTATCGATCATACCAACGGGAAGTTGGCACTGGCTTGCCATTTATTCGTGGATACGTAGATAAGAATGAGGATGGTGATTATCGGTAGTACCCTGTTGGCGGTTTTCGCGCTGTGATAAATAACTGATTTGAACATTACTGCGTTTTCATTCTTGAACGTCTGTTTGTTAGTGTGCTTGTGTGCTTGCACTAATCGATATGCGGTAGAAATCGAAAGCCCAGCTGTGCTCATTCTAAAGTACATCGGTTCGCTTAGGTTAGTGCAGTCGATTGCCCTACCAATTCCCTAATGTGTTGTAATTTGGAAGAACTAGCAACATCATGCGTAGTGGGTGACTCACCCCTCCCTCTACCCGTTTAGTCCAAAGTAGTGAGTGGATGTTAGCAGAAATTCCAGTGAGACAGCCAGTGTTAGTTATCGCCGAGCAATCAGTCGGGAAAACTACGCTAGTTCTTCATGTATGTTTCTTTTCCCTAGGCAGTCACACTTCACACTGACTTGGGTGACATCAAGATTGAGTTGTTCTGCTTGCAAGCGCCCCTTGCCTGCGAGGTGAGCCCTTAACGTCTTATATTTCTCGTCAATTTCTTTTGCAATGAACCTCAATGCCTACTTAGAGTTAGCGCGACGCTGTGTCTGCCTTACCGTCGCACCTGCGTGCGTCCCGGCTGTGCTTTCCCTATTCCAGCACGCTTCAGCTGACCTTGAGCGAGCCTATTACTGGAAGAAAGGCAGTGGCCTGCTCCTCCTCCAATCTCGCTCTAGCAAGTCCCTACGCAGGGCTCTCCAAAGCATTCCATTCTATCCGCGAGCTTTCTTACCCATTATCGGAAATAATGGAAAAGTGGACCGATTTTCCCTCCCTCCCTATCGCGTCTGTTCTGATCCTTCCATCTGGCCAGTGTCATCTGACTCCAAAGGGGGCATTTGTGACAGTATAGTCCGCATCCAAACTGAGGCGCCATCTTCATCTGCTCTCGACAAAGTCCTTCTGAAGCAGGATTCAGTTTTGGGTCAGATGCAAGCTCTGGTCGATTGTACAGCTCTCACACACCCGCATCGCCTCGCTTGGTTCACGTTTGCTGACAGTCTACTAGAGATCCTCAATACAGTGCGACCAGGCAGTTCAGTTTATCCGTTCGGTTCTGCTATCAACGGGCTGGGGTTGATTTCGAGTGATCTTGATATTATCGTCGATTTGGGTCTTGATGTGCCCTCGCGGCTTCAGTCCTTCTCCAAGCTGTATCCCAGGTCTGTAGTGAACTTTCATCTTAACTCATCTACTCACGGGTTGGCCATTATGCAGGAGTTGTTGGGCTACACCGGCCAACTTCACTATCACACGCTCACCCCAATACGCCTGCTGCTTAACCGTCTGGATCCTTTGAGCGCGCCCTGCTCAAGAGTGCTGCCAGGCCGCACCCCGATAATCAACTACACGCGTCATAGATGCCTCGGTGTGGGGATTGACATAGCTCGAAGCTCCGGTGACTTGAATTCCACCCGTTTGGTGCTTCACGCTGCCTACTGGATGCGAGGTCTGATCACCCAAGTACCGGTTTTCCTGTTTCTTGCAAACACCCTCAAGTATCTAATGCGTGGTGCCCACCTAACTCACAGTGGACCCTCATTCAGCTTCACAAACTACAAACTTACTGCCCTCCTGATTAGTTTCCTTCAAGTGGCGGTAAGACAAGCCCCTGGTGTGGAATACCTCCTCTTGGAAGATGACGAGTCTGTCGCAGAACGACTGTTGATCCCGCTTGAGGAACATCCTGTCTGCCCTCCATACGCACCGGAACTCATGCGCGAGTTCTTTGTCTTCCTGCGAAATCTGCGACCCGAAAACGTCACCCTCTGTCTCCGGTCCGGGCGTATTTTGCTACAAGAGGATGACGCGGCGCGCGATAGGCCGTTTTTGCACTGTCCCAATCCCCTGCTCCCAGAGTGGAACATCACGCACGGCATCAGTGCTGAGTCCTGGCAGGAGTTAATGGGCATTGTTGAGCACATGGAGCGGGTTTTGGCGGCCTCGCAGTCACGTCGTGAGCCATGGGGGCTGCCGGCCATGACTAAAGTCACCATTTCGCCCACCCTAACCGTGATACCAACCGAATCCCACAAATAGCTCCCTTCCTCTCTCTCTTCTTCTATTTCGAGTTGATGCGGGTACATGCTTTTCTCAATACGCCTTTTTTTCTACCTTTTTTATCGCCTCGTTCGTCAGAACTTTCTCGCCCTCTGCGCGTCAGACTACTACAAGGGATGCATTTTTCATAGAAATATTAAGGGTTTTATTGTACAGACTGGTGATCCATCAGGTAAGTTCTGGGCTTACCCTCCACCCCCCTCCACTAACACCTTACAGGCACTGGCAAGAATGGGCAGAGCATCTGGAAGCAGAAGTTTAAGGATGAATTTGATGATACGCTTAAGGTTGGTAGCTGTTTGTGAAGCGATTTTTTCGTAGCACAACGCTCGAGGGGTTGTGTCAATGGCCAACAACGGGCCCGATTCTAATGGATCACAATTTTTTATAACCTACAGCAAACAAACTATGCTGGATATGAAGTATTCAATTTTCGGCAAGTACGTCTCTTCCCTCTTAACTGGTGTCCGGTGTGTGTGTGTGTGTGATTGCCCAGACTGGTCCTATTTCAATGTTTTAATCTTCAATAGGTGATTTATTGCCATTCTGACTCACAAGCGGATTGTCTGTGTGGCTTGTCCTTTAGCGTCCGGCAAGGCAATGTGGTGATCGAACCAATTAGCTGCCAGTCATCCTGGATTTTTACCGGGTTTCACATTTTATAAACGTCCACAGAAGGGGGTGGACATGTTTGACTATTCGTGTGTGCGCGTGTGCCTTTGTACGTCAAATGATTTGAGTGGGTGTGACCGCTGTTGTCTTTTGCTAGGGTCATCGACGGCTGGGATGTTCTGGACGAGTTGGAACGGGCCCCTGTTGAAGACAAGACCTACAAACCCCTCACTGACATACACATACAAGATGTCACCATCCACGCTAACCCATTCGCTGAGTAGCCTGTACAACCCTGGCCCCAATCGCCCCTTCCAGTTTTTGTACCTTTTGTGAATAAATACCTCTTTTATGTGTCTCCATGGTTTTGAACTGTGACAACTCTGAGTGGTTTTGTCGCCTTACGTGTTGAAATTTGATTCGCTAGAAAGATGGCGCTTAATTCGCCCGGATTGGGTCTCTATGGACAGATTGTGATTGGTCCACCGGGCAGTGGAAAATCTACCTACTGTGCTGCGATGCAAGAGTTTCTCAGTGAATTAGGCAAGTAATGGATCCTTTGTTTATTAGTTTGGAAGCGATTTCGTTCCACCATTGACAATTAATCACGTGTAACGGCAGGAAACAGATAGGCGCCACGTTGAATTCTCACTCGGCTTTCTCACAGTCATCACGTCTTGTTAAATCGACCGTGTAGTTATTGGAGTTGAAGGCATTGTGTTCTGTGAATGCGTGTTGGTGTGCTAAGTGGTTCTCTGTGAGATCTCCCTGTCAGTAGTTTCTACTTTAGTCAAACGACTCGGCAGCGCTTCTAACTCGGTCATGTCGCCTCCTCACCGTCTTTGTTATCAGGTTCCACGGGTGTCGATGCTCCGTCGGGTAATTCACCGTCACAATCTCTTCGTTGTAGACTGTGGTTATGTCTGGTACGCTAAATCTAGTCTTTCGAAGGTTATATGGACCAAGCAATCAGGTTCTGAATTCTTGACCCACAGGGACTGCTCAAACACAGGAATGCAAAGACGATTACGTTTAAACCTATGGTTAGATTATCGGTGGCCGCTCATGCCACCACACCAATTTGACTTGATAACAAGAGAGTTATGTGATGTCGTTTTGAGCGGAAGAAGCGCACAGAGGACTGCATGATTCACACTGGTTGCACCTTTAGGGCGGAAGGTTGTTGTCGTGAACCTCGATCCTGCCAACACGGAACTACCCTACACCTGCGACGTGGATCTGAGAGATTTAATTACCCTGGATGACGTGATGCAGGCCTTGGATCTGGGACCAAACGGAGGACTGATCTATTGCATGGAGTACCTCTACGTTAATCGCCAATGGCTCACCGATCACCTCCGAAGACTGCGCAACGAGTCCGCGAAGACCTATCTTATATTCGATTGCCCTGGACAGGTGGGTGGCTTCTGACAACTGCTTTTGCTCGGGTGACAAATCGTCCCCTTTTTTTCTGTCAAAATCTGCGCACTTAGATCTGTGTTTAGGCCTACACAGACTGTCCAATACCTTTTTTTTATGAGTTTCGACCAATCAGCGTTGTGCTGTGGATAAGTTCGGTTTAAGCCTGATATTTACTAGGAGACCTGAGTCGTGTGTGATAAGGATGTGATGAAGGGAACCACAAACAGCTGACCATGAATTGGAGTGTGTGCGCTGCAAATGTCATAGACACGCAGCAAGAATGACACATGTGATTTACCGTAGAAGTTGACATTATGTGGTTCCCTTTGCACAAACCAAGTGGATCGATTTGTTTCTTAAACCTGGTCAGAGCCAGTGAGGAAAGCTGCTTGCCTTACAGATCCATCTGCCGGCAGTTTATCAGTGTTTTCCTCTTGGTGATCAACTCGCCATTGGTCTGATTCGACTTTTGTCAATTAGGGTTTAGTGGTTTTGGCAATCACCTCCATGTCAGACCCCGAATCTTGTTACAGGTTGAGCTTTACTGCAATAACACCGCCTTCAGGAAATTCCTCGCTTTCCTCACCCACGTACCCTACACGACGCCGGCTGAGCAGGCCTCGAAAGATCTGCCCCAACTCCCAGCCGGACTGGGTCTTCGCCTGACGGCCGTCCACCTCGTTGACTCGCACTACTGCACAGACGCGGGGAAGTTCATCTCTGTCCTGCTCACCTCGCTCATCGCCATGCTCCAGTTGGGCCTGCCCCACGTCAACGTGCTGAGTAAGGTTGATCTCGTCGAGCTCTACGGTCCGCTTCCCTTCAACCTCGACTTCTTCACCGAGGTCCTGAATCTCTCGCATCTAGTGGAACGCTTGGAGGTGAGTTGGCGAGACGGGGTGTTTGAAATGTAGCGACCTGCCCATGTGTGAGCGCTTTGGGATGGTCGACTTCAGCAAGTAGAGATCTTGCAGCTGTTACTAACATGAGGTGCAAAAATGACAATTTTTGGCATACGTGTGGAGTTTCTAGTGTCCGCGGCTTTACAGAATTCACGTTCGGACAATTTTCCGCATAAGAATGACCGACCTACTGAAGCTTATAATGACCAAATCAAAGTCACGCTTACTGTGGATCTTAAAATAGCAGTGCGAAAAGTTCTAGAGAGGTTGAATATCACACTCACACACAAAAATGTGTTTGCTGTTAACTACACACAGCTGTTAGATCTGGAACCAGCCAATGGGAAGCGGCCATTATTGGCAAACCGCGAAGGGGTCGTGTTACATATATTTGTCGTCGATTGAAACAAAGAAAATATAATCAGTTTCGTTGTTACAGTAAATGCTTAGGGGTTTACTCCATTTTCTAAAATAACCGAAATTATTTCCCTGCCAATCCAAGTGGCATTTTGATCCAGTGTGTATCCCCCTACTACGACCTTTGGCGATGTTTCCAGCCTCCATCCATGAATTTTTCCGTTTGTTTTGTATTCCTCTAGGATGATCCGTTCTTTGCCAAGTACAAAAAGCTGAATCAGGCCCTCGCCGACCTCGTTCAGGACGCCTCTCTCATCTCATTTCAAGTTTTGAGCGCACAGGTTAGGCATGCTCATTCAATTTAGTAAGACACATCCGTGGTTTTTTGTCCAACGTGGTCGTCATGCCCCATTCCACCCCCCCCCCTCCCGTTTTCGCAGACAGGGAAGGCGACTGAGAGCTTGACAATATGAGGTCAGGTGTGCTCCGACACCAAGTTACTAGGGCGATCCATTTACAGCGCTATTGACGAGGGTGGGCGATTATGGACCCCGCGGCTGTCTATTAACGTGTCGGGCTGGTGAAATGGGATATTTGTAGGTTGTGGTCTTCCGGTTCTTGGGGTGGGAAAAATCGTCCGAACGGGTTGCACTTCGCAAAAACGGGCGCTTTTCTTGGCGTTTTTTACTCCGTATCCCTTGGAATTCACTTACAGAGGCAGACCAGCGCAAAGACGTACTGTTCACCGAAGGCTCCAAAACCGCTAGCTTCGTCCCCTACGGTTGTGTGGGTGTTCCCGTCGGCCGAAGGTGCGCACCGTCGTCGGGGCCTGGAGAGTACGGCGAGGCAGTGAGGGGGACGTCGTTGATGGCGACCTTGAGGCAAAGCTTATGTATGGAATAGTGTCGACTCTCTCACCTCAAGAAACTCGGCAAGTTAGGAAGCGACTCAAGTTGAACGATATCGATGTTAGAGTAGAACTCTACAGCTTGTTAAGAACGGAGAACGGAGTGTTTTTAATACAATACAGGAGACGGCAGGTTCAATAAGGCAGATCCCTTTGACTTACCAGAGGCCAGAACCGTCCGTCAGCCACCGTCCATCCCATTTCGCTGTTCTACAGGCTTGACCCAGTGTTAGTACGTCAATAAATGCGTGTGTAGAGTATCCTAGCCCTAGTTTGAAGAATACTGGTACAACAGAACAGGCCTTATTGACCAATCACAAGCCAGAACCACACGTCAGGCGCTGTCCATCAGAGTCCACCACGCTGGCTGCTCCTCATACGTGTCGATCTTTGGTTGACTGCATATCTTCCTCGCATTCCATTCAAACGCAGCGAGTCCGGCGTGGTCCAACATGTCTGCGCCCTTATACGTCGCTCCATGTGTGTTCTGGTGTTAATTAACTGCGTGAATTGGCACAATTCACGGCACTACTCGTCTGTCAACCTCTTGAAGCGATTGGTTATGCTGCTCCCGTTTTAACGCATTGAGCAAAACTATCGGCAATAGAATATTCACATTAGATTGATACGTAGAGTTTGTCAAACTCGGTCGTTTGTTTAATTATCCCCCAACGCTGCCGTGGATACCGCTATCGCTTTTACGTTCGCTCACATTAATTGTGGTACTGTGTTCATACAAGGCCGTGTTTAAAGATTTACAAGGGGGTGGTGTATATGGCTCAATTGTCATGTTGTCTGGACATGCGTCGAAATTGATGGCGGACTTGAGTAAACACATTTCACATCGGAAATACTCACCTCCTCGTTATTCAAAGCTTTTTAGTAGCTTGATGTTTAGCACTACCTTGCAACCCTCTAGCTAGCAGCCTGTAAAAACCCGAGAAGACTGGAACAAGAGGCGATAGAGGACGCGACAGTTTATTAGCCTTAGTGTGTGGATGAGTGAGCGGATGTCGGACGTCTGATAGCAGTAACCAATGAAAAGAAGATGAGTCACCGTCAGGTTAGTAAACAGGGCTCATTCAGGCGGGATCGCTGTTAATCCGCTACAGCTTTAATAACACACGCACAGGTTCTAAAGCGACTTGTCAGGATCCTAGTCGCATTCACGAAAATATTGTTAGAGTCCCCATATCGTGTGCGTGGAACTCTACTTAAATTACTACTCTTGGTGATATACTTTACATTTTAACGTTTCTTGTGTCTATAATACGCCCTAGTGAATTTAAAACTTTTTGACTGTTAGGACCGCGTTTTGTTGCAAAAAGTGATGCAGTGCGTCGACAAGGGGAACGGCTATGTGTTCGGAACGGATGAACAGAGGACCCTGCAATCGATGCTGTCCTGTGCTGCAGGAGTCGAGTTTTCGAACGACTTGGTGTGCATGGCACAAGAGCGCTACACTAGCAAACCTCGAAGTCACACTTGAGTTTGCCATGTGACCCGGAACAACTGACAAGTGCTCTTGCATCTACAGATCGAAGAAGTGAACCGTGTCCGCGACATTTTTGCTGGCGCCCAAACTGGTCGTAGCATTTCTTCTTTTTGACAAGCTACTCTCATGCTACCCTCCTCTGTCCTTTCATCGGACTCTTTTATATTGTGACGGATTTTCACATAGAATATACGTCCTGTAAATTTCACATGCAAACAGGACACATTTTGTCTGGGGACTGCAATTTGTGTGGAAGATTGAAGGGGGTGCGTAAGAGTGAATGGTGATGGAAGAGATGCAACTAAATTGTTGAACAGAAGAGATTTTGTTGGAAATGCTAAGGTGCTGTCCCTCTTTCGCTGTTGACTAATGTGTCATCACAATGTCTTCTTGGAATATAATTCTGGGCATTTGTTTTCGCGGGTATGGACAATTGATAGACTTTACAAAATAAGAATGAAAAAAAATTATGTTGTTTGAAATTTAGACTTAGTTTTTTTCGGAGAAGCAACAATCAAAGGAAGGTATGAAGGTGAGAATTTCTCCCTAGATTCGAAACTCTTAGGTAACACGGTCTTAACTCTCCCTGTTTTTGGTCGATCGTCTTTATGTGAAGTTGCGTCGAATTCTCAAGCATTCACGGCTTTGAATCGGCGAGTTTGATGTCAGACGCACTTCATGATCAATAATGGATTTGAATTAAAAGTTTATGAATGCATAAGGAACGTGGTAACCGAGGCAAAAGATAAATTAATTTATGGATCGCTGCTAGTACAAACTAGATTTGACGTCGACCGTATTCATATTATAAATGAATCAAACGATATTAATGTGTTTATGGAAAGTGACGTGGATTTAAAGGACACAGAAATGCATTCATTTGTGCGTTTTAACACCTAAATCAATAAAATGCTGACAAATTTTCTTTGCTTTAACGAAAGATGCAATTTTAGCTTATTTGTATCAAACAAAAGTGCTAAATAGACAGAAATCACATTACTGAAAAGATTTAGCAATGTGTTCAGTTTAAACAAGTTAATTATTGAACGCTAGTGAAGGTTAATTTCAATATTTTTTTAAGCAGACTGCAAATCGCTAGCATACTGGTTACTGAAACGGTATACTCTGGGATCAAAATTAATCTTTATCACATCAGTTCACCTGGAGTGCTGACACCTTAATTTCTGAATAAGAAATGGCAGTTGCAAGTTTATGGTGGTCTGCAAGCGAATTAAATTAACTGTTTAATAATTCGACAATGAGCTCTGGAATTCGGATGGACCAAATTCCCACGAAAGCCAGAACAGTGTAATCATTGCCACGCACCCACGGAGACGATATTTTTTGGCATAAGAAAGTAAAAAAATTATTTCTAAGAGAAGGAATTGTCTCTTTATTATCTGTAAAGAAAACAGGTGAGTGTAACATTAACATTTTTGTCGATGAGTTGGATCCTTCATAATATATATTGATTGTTTATGGTCATACTACTCTGAAACTTGCTCATTTACCACACTTCAACGTCATTTTTTTAATTGTTTTTTTTCTGGCCATAAAAATTTAAATGAAAACTTTGCAAAAAGTGATAAATTCATTATCTGACAAATAAACACGACTCCCTATAATCGAGAAAACTGAACAAAGTGACGAAACTAGGAACAACAGAAAAGTCAAATGGTGAAAGGGTTATTAAGCACAGACAAGACTTAGATACTATGTAAAATTAAATTTAGATGTTTATTATTTCAATTTTACATATTGTTCGATTCCATATTTGTGGGATATAGAATCAAGAAATCTTCAATAACTCATTTGAATTTATTTAGTATTTATATCATACGCCTATTGAATTTTGTGCTTCATAACCTTCTACTTCTACGCCTAAATGAGTGTACTCTACCAATATGTGATCTGTTTATATCAGTGATATGCCAAGGCGGCTCTCTTAGTCTAAAAGGCTGTTCAAGTTGTTTTCGTCTGGATTATGGCTGACATGTTTTTTGAGAACATCACTGAAGAGCTGCGAGGTCATATTTACCCCGGAAAGCTTCGCTTAAAGTCTACTGATGTGATGTTTAAGAACGAAACCACTGGCAAAGTAGACCACTTTTCGAGTGGGGATATCGCTTCGGCTGACTGGATCTCCCGAGCCACTGGACTATGTTTACGTTTAAAACTTACAAATGAAACTGTTCATCGCTACGATGGGTTTGGCGAAATCGAATCCGAAAAAGTTACATCATTTTTCAAAAAGAATTACGGACTTGACGTTAATAAACGCGAGCTTTGCTACAAAGGGTTCAATTGGGGTGATGTCGTATTCGAAGGTAAGTCGGAGTCCTGTGTTTAAAAATGTTTTAGGTGACGTAATGGAGTTCGTCTACAAGAATACCATGGCCTTTGATGTTCCACTAACTAATATTTCAAATGCAGCGACAAGTAAAAACGAGGTGATCTTTGAGTTCCACCCCAATGATGACGCTGAAATTTGCCTCTCAGAAATGCGGTTCCATACACCGGGCACCGAATCAGACAAAGATGGTGCTGCTGGCGCAATATATTCGCGTGTCATGCAGAAAGCTGATATTATTCAAGTTTGTTCTGAGTCTATTTCAATGCTTTATTTCTTAGGTTACTGGAGACTCCTTGGTTGAGTTCAAGGACATCTCCTATCTCCAGCCTCGTGGTCGCTACGATGTCAAACTCTACAATACATTTCTGCACCTACACGGAAAATCTTTTGATTACAAAATTCCCAAGAGCACCATTATTCGGCTGCTTTTGCTTCCTCATCCTGACGGTCGGCAGGTTTTCTTTGCTGCCCAAGTCGATCCTCCTCTTAAACACGGCCAAACACGATATCATATAATTATAATGGTGTTTGATAAGGACAAGCACATCGATATCGAACTCAGTGTTAGTGAAGACTATCTTCAGAAGAACTACGATGGTAAAATCACTCAAGTAATGGTTGGGCCTGAGTACGAACTCTTCGCTCGTCTGTGTAAAGTATGCTCCATGTCTTGTCAGCACGGTCAACTTCTCTTTTGCAGTGATTAACAAGCTTTACCTAATTGTAGACACTTTACAATCAGAAATTGACGGTGCCTGGTTCGTTTAAGGCAAAGAATGGTGGATCTGCGGTTCCATGTAGTTACAAAGCTTCCGTCGGTCTGCTGTATCCTCTCGAGCGCGGTTTCATTTTCATTCCCCGACCTCCCGTTGCCATAAGGTTTGATGAGATTGTCGGTGTAAATTTTTCCCGTGGTACCGGCGCACAGCGGTCGTTCGACTTTGACGTAAGTGCTATATTCTTTTTTTCTACGGTTGTACTCAACAAATGCATCCGCGATCATATGTTCATCTCGTGTTACTCCATTGACAATGGCGTTCTGAAACAAAGCTCTACATAGTGGTTATGCTGTGTGGTATGCATTTGGCACCAAGTTCGAGTATCGGAATAGGCCGTTTTCGCCCATTCTTATTTGGATCAATTGTCTTCGCCCCTTTACGTCCTCACCACAAGTCTCCACTGTTGTAAAATTTGCACCTGGTTAACCTAGGTGCGTATGTTCAACGATGCAAGTGTTAGAGAATGACCTCAATTAGCTTGGTCACTTTAAACCTTCAACGAACAAAGTAGAACACTACACTACAGCTACTTTTGTCAATTTGCGGCCACAGTGCTTCTGAAGAGCACTTAGGGGTTAGTATTTCAATGCTCCCTTAAATTACCAATGACTTTCCTAAGTACTCTGCTTTGCTGTTTCCGTAGCTAATGTTTCGACTCAATTTTCCTTCAAAAGAATAGTCAGATTAAAAATCAGACTCCTTTTGTCTCAGTTACGGTGAAGAAAGTGACTTTACCTAGACATAAGTCGTCTCTTAGACTGTCAAGTGCCACAATATTCATGCTCCAGGAGAAGCAGTAATGCTGTGTTTGGAATCCTTCGAAGGCTTCATACATTTTGTGCATCATGTGACACAGGTTTTCGTGATTTCTCTAACCCATAACAGGAAAATGGTATGTAAGCACGTCTTCATCTATGAACCCCTTCATTGTAGATTGAGACACGCGTGGGGGTTACGCATACCTTCGTTTCAATAGAGCGTGATGAGTATCATAAGCTCTATGACTACGTCACGGAAAAGCGTTTGCGTGTCAAAAACATCGAAGACAAGGATGCTGTTGATCGAGAAAACCTCGATGACGTGTGGTCTTCGTCTGACGAATCACACGATGCCTATCTTGACAAGGTGAAGGCAGAGGGTCGTGAACGCACGGCTGAGGCTGCTGCAGGCACTCTGGCTGGTGCCGAATTCTCGGACGACGACGAGGAAGACGAAGACTACAAGCCAGCGGATACGAATACAAGTGAGTCGGATGTTGCAGAGGAGTACGACAGCAACGTGCAGTCCTCAAGCGACTCTGATTCCGGTTCGGGAGTCGAGTCTGACTCTGCCAGTGGCTCCTCATCGCCGCGTCAAAAGAAGCCCAAGAAATCCGCCCATCCTTCACGCCAAACCGAGAAAAAGGAGAGGAAGAAGACCCCCAAAAAAGACCCCAACGCTCCAACACGTCCACCAACCGCCTATTTCCTGTGGTTCAACGAGCACCGCCAGCAAATTAAGGCAAGCCTGGGCAGCTCCGCTGCTGTCACTGAGGTTGCCAAGGCTGCTGGTGAAAAGTGGAAGACATTGGAGTCCGCCGTAAAGACAAGGTACCAGGAGCAGGCGGATAAACTTAGAGCGCGCTATGAAGAGGAAGTCAGGAAATACAAAGATAGGATTGCGTCGGGTGAAATTGAAGCTCCTGCAAAATCGTTATCCAGCGGCAAAAGGTCGAAGCCATCCCCGTCTCCGCCGAAAGCACACAAAAAGATGGTTCCTGGAAGTTCGTCTCAGGTCGGCAGTGGTGGGAACTTCAAGAGTGCCGAGTACGTCTCTGAGTCCGAATCTTCCTCATCGGCAGATCGAAACCGGGGCGGTGACAGTGGTAGTGAGGATGGAGGGAGCGATAGCAATCTAAGTGACTAGAGATCCTGGAATTTTGTACACCTACAGATGTTTAACAAAGGCAATCACGCAGATATATTCTATGTACATTCAAACAGTTGTTTTCAATTATGAAAGTGCCATCACCTTGCTCTAGACATGGACTTTGGTAGGTTCTCGACTAGAGCAGTTTCGCGAAACCGCCGTCTTGGCTTTGTCATGCTTGCAAACAATGAAATTAGGCTGCCTGAAACTACTAGCAGTCACTGTATAATTAACATGGGGGCGAGTCCATAGACCAATTATTTTTTTTACGAAAACAAACAGCTCGTGGTTGAGATTGTCTACCTGCTAAGAGGCTCTAGATTTTTGGTCGCGGTGTTCGTCCGAGTGCAGCAGCCCGCATGACCGGCTTCTGCTCGTCCACGAGGCACTTGATGCCCATGCAGACTGTTGTTATGGAGAGGAAGGCAGGCATCAGAATGGCGACAGCTGTACTCAGTCCCTGGATGACTTGCAAGTGAGACCAACGAACGATTATTTCAACAGACCAAATCCCCGACCAGTCGGACCATTTGAAGTCGCTGCCTCGTGCGTCGCCGTGCACGCAGGCGAAGCGGAAGACGGGAATGCGTCCGCTGTCCAGGGTTAATTTCGCGTCCGTGCCCGACTTGGCCTCGGCGTAAATCAGATTGTAGGCGGGGTCCAGGGAAATGCGTCCGCGGGAGTCGGCGAAGAGCGTCGAGAGGTTGATTTGCTCCATGTGGAACGCCAGCCATCCGGAAGGCGTCCCAAACGCGCCGAACGCACCGGGCATTAGTGCGGTGCTCGTGAAGTTACTGGTCTCCTTGTTGCTTGCGGGCAGTCGGAACCAGGAGATGGGTGAATGAACTGTTCCGCGAATCGGACAAGCTAGGCTGAAACGGTCGCCATCCTTCACCCGAATTCGCTTTAACATGGGCTCGGAGACGTACTCTGCTGCCTCCTTGGCGCTATCTTTGGTCATGCCACGCGTGAAGGGTATGAAGGAGTAGAGTATCCTTAAAAAAGTAGGCAGAAGGGAGCTAGTATTTAATTACTCTTGAAGGAATGCTGTTAGTAATGACAGGAGCACTGTGACCAAGCCTGTGCATGTTGGAAACCAAGAAACTGAGCATTCTGATGCTAAATTATGTCAAAAGGAACCTACTCACGTTGAAGGGATCTGTTTCAGTGACCTCCTTTTGTGGACAATGTTCAGATCAGAAACAGAAGCATTGTTGTTGATTTAGTAATTAAATATTCAAATTCTTCAGTCGCAGTTATGTTGGCCTTCGGTATCAAATCTATTATGGTGTTTATCATATTACCGGGACCCATACTGGGTAAACCAAGTTTTAGTATCGTCACCCTGCCAAATCAGCTGGATGATAATTTCGTGTAATGCCTAAATGTCCATTTCAATAAAAATATTTCCAAACACTGAAGGAAACTGTCCAAGAATATCAAAATGACTCACGAATCTCGTGGATAGGGACAGGGCTTGTAGCAAGGACGAATAAGGAGTTCGCTGGGGCGTTTGCGTAGCACACGGATACCTGATTCGAGAACGCCTTGCACGATGAGGTGCGATCGACACGGCAACCCCTCCTTGGCGAATTCCCTTAGTGGTTCTGTGGCGTACCGCGCCAGTTTGTAGGGTCTCACCGGGAAGAAGGTGTCAAGCATGCGCACGTAGCACGTACCAACGCGAATCTGGAAGCCCTCTCCACCCTTTTCCGTCATTCCTAGTTCGAGGATTCCGGGTGGAATTTGAGCCACACAGGGAACACATTCTGACCAGGGACCCCACGACGTGAAAATCTACGCGCAAAATGCGGAAAAAAGAAGACATTGCAAAATGCGTGGGTGTGAGTTGGGCCTTCCTTGCTACTCGATTACGAAAAATTGGGTTTTCGATCCAATAAAACTTCCCTCCATACCTTGGCTGTCTACGTTGCAAGCTAGCATGAAATTGTTCAACATTAATCGCTACTAAATCTAGAATGCTTTATTCAGCAATACACTTTAGCTTGTTTATAATCATTTCTCTCATGAAATACGCTATAATGTGTACAATGCCAGAGAGAGTAAGAACTACCTGGATGTTTGCCGGTATGATTGTCTTCATTCGGAGTGTTCGGTCCGGTTTTGAGCTGTTTTTGTCTGTCTCGTTTGATTTAAGGTACACCATCGGAGAAATAGTCTGTCGGTAAGGCTCCTGACCCGCTGGCAGAACTGTTATAGCCCACAGAATTCGTGGTCGTCCACGGTACACACAGGTATAAGTACCGGTATCTCGTACCCTAGTCTGACGCAGTACAAGTTGGTCCTTGTAAACATAGACACGCGGCGAGATCGAATGCATTCTTGTAGTAGTAATTTTAATTGGTCCTTTCCCGGGAGTTTGAAACATATAAAATAAATTGAGCTGTTGGTTGCTGGAGTTGCCGAAGAACCGTTTTTTGAGAAGGTCGGTCTTTGTCGCCGGTCGAAGTATATCCCCTGGTACATGTCCAGATTTTGTAAACAACCTGGACCTAACTCTAATTCAGTTTAAAATAAATTAATAGTTTATAATTAAATTATAGGACTTAAGTACACCTCTAAACTTAGGTGGATATCCTGTTTAATAGCTTAAAATCCGGGTCGCTAATTTAGATCAAAATTATGATTTATTCCAAGTTTCCAAATGATACTACCTCAATGGAACCTAAAAGACATATAAAAAAATATTTCGTAGATTTCTTAAGGATTTCAAAATGAATACGTAAATGTAAACCGGATACTTAGTTTTATGACTGTCTACCGTCATTTTATTACGCGCAGCCTATTAAGTTTGGAAGTTAAATTTTACAGACACGTTAAAGCCAAAGCACTTGACGCGTAAATTTAAACCATTGTCAACAAAAATGCATTCTGATTAGTGCTGGATAGTAATTTATACCTAAAAACCGACATCCCTGGAGTCAAAAAAGAAAGAGCTATTTGCTGCTGTTGACTAAAATCCGCTTGGCAATTAGTTTAATTTTATAAAATTTTACTTAAACGGAAATAACAAGACATGAGTATGAAGCCTCTATTTCTTGATAAAACCGTTGATCTACTATAATTTTTAAACTAGAATCATTCTGGTTAGGGTTATCATCACTGTTAGAAGTACAAGTTTATTTTGCGAAATTGGATGGAATTTAATGGAAATGTTAGCTGCAAAGTAAGAATGAAGCCGCCTGAACCCGAGCTAAATTGGGTAGACAATTAAAATTCACAGATATATACAAGCATTCATTTTTGAATGCGATTAAATTTATTTTTAATATACCTTTCACGCAGACCAGAAATGGAAGTCGAAAATAGTTCTCCTATTTCCTTTAAATGAACATTAGTACGCTTTGCTTTCATCCATTTTTCAATATTAAATTGTGGTTTGCATTCCATCAGTTCTGGTTCACAATTAGCACAAATTGAGCAGGACAAATGAAGACTTTCGCCTTCAACAAGTAAGGCACTATCATAAAATGGTGTGCCTCTGTGGTCACATGGGTACTTAGTCCATTTAAAAACTGGAAGGCACTTTAAAAAGTCTAGCAAAAATGACAAAATTAAAATAGACCGAAAACACATAAGCAATTTGTTACAAGTACTTTTTGTCAAGGTCAACAGAACAAAATAACGCAAACCGATACACTGAAAATAATGAATCGATTTTAGGAATCCTTATGATTTTGGAGTTTATTAAATTAATAGAAAGGTTTTTTTGACGCACTTGGCAATTTTAATGTTTTAAAGCATTTTTCAAAAAAAGCAGCGTTTGACCATATTTCTATTTCACAAAAGCCAAAACATTTTTCAAAAATTTTGCAAAATATTCTCTAAATCCGATAAATTATTTTCTTATTTCATGTTTAAAAAATGTTTTCACAAACTTACTACCATTATCCCTATTAGCAACGAAATCTATCCTTTTTACGATATAACATGCACTTGTTAAAAAAATTACCAGAGATCACCTCACATACTATAAGCGGGCTTAGCGAAAAATATCCTAATAACTGTAAAATAGGCAATTAAATTTTCAACAATTATTAATGCGGAGAATGCTGTAGGTACTTTGTCTGGATTTTTTTTTTATAAGTCAAACCTTTGTTACGAACATTCATAATTTTGGCCTGTTAGTCTGATTAACTATTCAATGATGAACATCCAAATTTTGAAATCAAAAAGGGGCATACAAAATCGATTTTTTAGCCCACATATTATGAGAAATCAATAAAGTACACGTGAGTACCATTACCATCTCTCAAATATATTCAAGCTCTAAAAAGGTTGAATGAGACTGTCCCAAAAGTCTACTTACTGCAGAGTAGTTGAACTTAGATTAATACAAGTTTCTTTTCAATAAATTTTAGATAAAAGTATTTGAAGCTATGATTTTTAACTTTCTTTACGATATTTGACCTCATTGTAACTCGCCACAAAAAGCGCCGGTTGTCGAGTTTTTGCTGTGTTCACTTAACCAAATCTTTTACAGTAGTCTTCGGAGATTTTCTCCTTGAGCCCTTTTACGCAAACACGAATTAGCTGGTCAAGGACCAATCCATGGTGTCAAACCAGGTGGCAGCGTTGCCGTTTCATTAGCAAGTTGTCTTAAAAGTAGCACGTCCATTTTATCTCCTTGACAGTGTGCCTTTGAAAAAAGCATTTTCTGTAGGTATCCAGTAATCTGGCAGCCGATCGTTTTACAAATGCATTTATTGCCTCAATTCAATCAGGTCGCCAGTTGTGAAGCATTTTTAGATTGTCGGCTTTGATTACGCTTCCATCAAAGAAAGGTTGACCGTGCAAAGTTCTGTGGAACATAGCGGAAACTTTTCTCTCATTGTGAATCTCTTTCTATTTAAAAATGGCATGTGGGATTACGTAAGTTTAGGCATATTGGGCAATTTAGTATCAAATATCGTGATAAATATCTAAATGCTCGCAAAATTACTGCAGTCACTATTTATCAGAAAAGGCACGCTGCACCTCTTTCGTTACGAAGTTCAAAAAAGTTTAATGTATCATAAAATGACTATTGATTGCTAGAGGATTGGATCGATTTAAGGCGATGCTTGGTTCAGCACTGCCCTTCTAATGGTCAGGTATGTGGCCTCAAACCACACCGTAGTTGCTGCATCCACAGATGCGAGGAGCGACTAATTAGACTAGAGATGGCGGATATGCAGCTGTTTGTTTGATGGTTCAATCAATGTGTGTGCCGCTTAACTTTTTATATAAAAAAATTATGATTGAATAATAGGCGTCGTTGATCAAAATGATCAGGGTAAGCTTGCAAAAAGTATACACGTTCAGACGGACAGATGAATGAAATGAGCATCGATGTGGATGCTTATACGGACAATTCCGAATATTGATAAAGGGGCGGTATGTCAGACAATTCGGAAACAGTGTTGATGGACAGGAAGTAACCACTAGCAACTATAAACATTTGTTCTGAGTGTGCAATGAACAAAAAATCATTAAAATGGTTCGCTAAAAATGAGTCGGTACGGCATAAGTTTATGTAAAGCTGACTTTCCTGCCTGACATTATTGTTGACTTTTGCACTAATATACAAGGCTGTTTAGTACTAAGGTCTTCGTGACTGTTTTGTCATTTGTGATATGCTCATTATTATAGCCGTACCTTCGAAAGTTTTAGAAAGGAATGTTAAACTGGAAGCTGTTGCTGCTTGATCGTGAACTAAATAAGTCATTTATCTTTACACAACTTAGGAAAGAATAGACAGCCAGTTTATGGTGATTTGGATGAATGTTGTGCAATTTCGATCAAGGTCAAAGGGCAGACGTTTGGAACCATGGCAACAGTCTGGCTGCGTGATTCTGCGTGGATGCATAGGGAATGGGGTGTCTAGTGAGGAACAGGGGTGTACACAGGGGCCAAATATTCGAGTGGCACACTAAAAATACGATTTTCATCACGTGCAGTGTAAAAAATTGTTTTAGTGTAATGTTAAAATCGGTAGTGCATTCAAACAAAAAATCAACAATTTGATATTTCGCACAGATCATCGTAATTGTACACTATTAAACAGAAATACTACTAACTGAAACTCTATCTATATTAAGTAATATTTGACTGAATCTAGCTGATGGATTGCGTTTAAATGATTCCCATGTGTCGCAATAATTAAGTTCAGCGTCAAATGCAATTCTGCATCGATTTTTGCGCAGCTTAGTGTGGGGAACTTTAAGTTAATTGTTCCCAGCCAGTGATATTCCCTCAAGAAACCAGAAGTAACGCAATTTAGGTAATTTGCAAATAAAATTACTCGTTTTTATAGACGACCCGTTGTGGATTCCAATCATGCAGTCGATTACTGCTTACTCAGTCTCCAATGTGTGCGGTGACTGAATGGATTGTTAGAATGGGGTAAGGTCACGCAGAAGCTGTGGTTACAGATGTGAACTAGCAAGTTACACCAGCTTTTTGATAATGCCGTTGATTTGGAGAGATTGGAAAGGTGTTTAAACATTCTGCAATTTGTGGTATAAGTAAGGTTTAACTGTACATATTTTCAAATTAAATCAATCAAATTAAGATCATTTAGCTGCTATAGCGAACGCAAATATACTGACGTTAGCATTTACCTTGTCAAAATACCCCGCACACATTGATTGTGGTCTTTAAAGCTTTTTTTAGTGACTCCATTCTTGAGAAATGACAGAAGTTTTGTGCATTGATTTGTGAATCGGAATCGCACGCCTCGTCACATTAACCGAGGTATACGTTGAGCGCAAAAGAACTTTTTTCTTGTCAAAAGCGGCATAACAGAAGAGCTCGGCAAATGAACAAATTTGTTGAAAAATCATTGCTATTTTTCTACATTTCTTCATATTAGTAAAACACAAATTGCATTTCCTTCTAGTGGCAGCAGAAATGACTGAATGGGTCGCTAGAATGCAAGCACATGGAAAGATCAGTTGACTCACAGTTTGCAACTGCTCTAGAAACCTCCACGCCACATTACAAAGTCACGTGAATTTCGTTTGCCAGATGAAGTGAAGTGGAAGTGAAGTTCACCGTGAACAGCGCTAGGGTTTTTCCCCATGAGGGGGTACCCACGACGCCAAACGCACATGCCAAACCGACGCTGAAGTCCTGTGATCTCCGTGCTGAAACTGACCACATTTACAGCAAAGTATTGACTAGTAACGTAGAATGCAAGTCTACAAATTGGTCATCACCACACATGGTACACAGTGTGCCACCTAAAGACTTCTGAAAACTGGCAAGATAAGTAAGCTAATTGGTGCCGACTGCTTTTCGCGACTACCGACACCGATTAATCGGCATTATTCCGTTTCG